CTTCTGCCAACACAATAACATGGATGGACAAGGACAACCAGGTCAACCAGGTAGCACATGTGTGTCTGAAGAGATGGTTCTGTAATGAACTGTACTCACTGCTCTTTCATAGAATCCAAGTTTAGTTCCCTGCATCTTCAAACAGTGGCTGACAACTGTCTATAACTCTAGTTCGAGGGGATCCCATGTCTCTGGCCTCCATGAGCACCTTGCATTTATATACACATACTTAGACACATACATATACATAATTAAATAATAAAAATGTGTAGTCGTTTGAATGAAAACGGCCCCCCAAAAGGAGTGGCACTATTAGGGGTTGTGGCCTTGTTAGAATAAAAGTGTCACTGTAGAGGTGGGTTTTGAGGTCTCATATACGCTCAAGCCATGCCCAGGGTTTCATACCACCACCTCCTGTTGCGTGCAAGTCACTATGTAGGACACTCAGCCACTTCTCCAGCACCATGCCTGCCTGCATACCACCCTGTCACACCATGATGATAATTTACTAAACCTCTGAAAATGTAAGCCACCCCAGTTAAATATTATTCCTTTATAAGAGTTGCTGTGGTCGTGGGGTGGGTGTCTTCACAGCAATAGATACTCTAAGACAAAATGCATCTTATAAAATAACACATAGATGAGCTAGCTACAGCTTCGTATGGAGGAGGTAACTGATATTATCTGCCCTGGACAGGTAAAAGGCACATAGAGATAATCTTTTTAAACAGTATCTATGTTGCTTATGTTGGTCTTTTTACTCTGAGTGCAAATGATCTTCCTTTGTCAGTCTCTTGTGTGGCTGGGACTGTAGTTATTGGTTACTAAGACTTGCTGACAGAGAAATCTTTTACTGAAGAACATAGGTGGTTAGACTGTGTTTGCCTCCTTCATTTCTTAAACACATTTGCTATAGTCTAGGGTTGCAATCAAGTTTTTTAAAAAAAAAAAAAGATCAATGTTGCAGAATACTTGTTTAACTATGTACAGATGTGTTACATTTGTTTAATTATGTAAAGATGTATTGCTGTTCTATTTTGCCTGCCTAAGGTACCTGATTGGTCTAGTAAAAAGATGAACAGCCAATAGTGAGGGAGGGAAGAGGTATAGACAGGACTTCCAGTCAGGGAGAGTAAGTAGGAGGAGGAATGTAGGCTCAAAAATATAGAAAGAACAAGAGATGCCAGGAGCTGGCCAACCAGACATGGAGGAAGCAGGAAAATAGGACATAGAGAATGAAAGATTAAAAAAAAAAAATGCTCTAAGCCAAGGCAAAACATAGATGAATAGAAACAGGTTAAATGAAGTTAGAAGAGCTGGTAGGATAGGCCTCAGCTAGGGCCAAGCATTCATAATTAATAATGTCTCCATGTCTTTCTTTGGGGGCTACAGATCAATTTAAGAGGAGTAGCTATCGTGTGCCATATGATGCAAATAATTATACTGGATATCTGTGACTAAAAATGCCACACAGAATAGTTTCTAGTGACATTAGAGATAGTTGTCACCAACACTCCCCTATCCTCTTTTCTTGAGTGTTGGTAGTGGTAAACTCTGAAGTCCTTGCCCATCAGCACCCTGTCATGGGTCAGCCTACCACCTTTAGCCATCGCATTTCCCTGGCCCTCAGCCTGTTTCATTTTAGAAAATTAGTCACTACCTTTGGATAAATAAGAAGTTCTATATAAAAATAACCACAGGCTAATTATTACTATTATCAGTAATCTTATTCCCTTTAAAAAAACAAAAAACTAGATTGGGTCACCTTGCCCAGCCTTAATACATGGGTAGGTGCTTAATCTCACTGCAACTGGATATGCCATGTTTTGTTGATGCTCATGGGAGACCTGCCTTTCCTAAACAGAAACAGAGGAGAGTGTTATGAGTAGTTTTTCTGCCTGCTGGTCTTGTCCCTCTGCCACGACAGCCCCAAATAACACACAGGCCCAGCTGAGGCCCAAATATCTAATACAGAGACTCTGTATTAGATAAATTCTGTTGGCCAGTTACTAGTTTCTTATCGGCTAGCTCTGTCTTAAATATTAACCTATTTCTATTAATCTAAGTGTTTCCACATGGTCTCATCTTACCGGAGAGAGGGTCTGGCGTTCTGCTCTGTCCAGTCTTACCATGCTGACCCCCGCCCCACTACTTCCTCTTTCCTCCTTGTCTCCTAGTCCCGCCTATCTTGTTTACATATTGGCCAACAGTGCTTTATTCATTAACCAATAAGAGAAACATATTGACAGAATGACATCTCCCATCAGGAGAATTGGGGTTGGTAACAGAGGGGGCTGTAGGAGAGGGACTAAGAGAGGAAAGCGGGGAAATTAAGGCTGGGATATAAAATAAAGAAACAAATGTATTTTAAAAAACTAGACTGAAGTTGGGTTCTATGGTCCTGTGTCTTATTCCTTAGTGAACTGTACAATTTCCAGCCTGTTTATCCTGTGGTGTGGTAGTTATTCATATGTAATAGGCTCTTCCATAGCAATATGCAGTGGAAAATTCCTTTTGACAAGCCATAGCAAGCTTAATTGAGTCATGACGTATCCCATTAAATGGCTTCCAATGAGGCAAACAGTCCTTTGCCTGAGGTAGCAAATGCTATCCTAGGGTTTCATCATGACTGTGTGGTCTTATATGCCTAAGGAAATGAATTTCTTCACTTGTAAAAAGTTACAGAGGTATGGAGCTAATATTAGAGTTATTGAATTACATTTTAAAGAGGTACATGTTCTACCAAGCTAATCTTCCTTAGATGTGAGGAAATTCATTTTTTTTTTAATTATCACTGGATTACAGGTCCCTTTTTAACTGTTATGTTTGCTTAGTTGTTTAGTGAGTCCCTTATGAGAATCCCCAATCAAGTCTTTTTAAGTTTGAATATTATTATAAAATGTCATTTGTCATGTTAATAGAAATCATTCTGTCATGATAGTAGTTCTCTCTCACACTGACTCTACAGCCTGCAGCCATTCCAAATGCTGACATTCCAGTTAATATTTTTAGGACAGATGGTGTTAGGGCTCTCAGCACAAGCAGACTAGTAGTAGCTGATAGTATACAGTATTTAACTTGTAAGCTTCCATCTGAGTCTTCCATAGGTGCCCCTGGGATGGAGTGATATTATAGTACCACTGTCAGTCTGGAAAGGAACACTGGGAATGGGTCTCATCTTTGCCTCCAACCCCAGGGCAGCAATAAGTCAGGAAAGGGAGATTGTAAACCATTGATTTCAACCATACAGATGAGTTGCAAATAAATTGTGCTATCTGCTCTATTTGTCCCTAAAGTCAAATTTACCTAACACATAAGTCGAGTAGCCCCATTCAATTGCATCAAAGGATTTCTGGCACGTAATGCAATTGTCACTATTCATTTGGATTTTCTCTTGTATTTCAGATGAGTTTCATTAGCCTATGCAGATGACCTGATGCTTCTGACCAGGAACAGAGGCTGCTTGAATAAAGGTCTATTAGGTCTTTATTATTTATTCATGCACCATGTATTCAGGTAGCCATTATTTTATACCTACCCACATTATATGAAAGCGTATTTTTCACAGTACCACTAAGGGAATAACATGTAATTTAAGTATAAAGCTAAATGGATATATGTAATAGAGTAAAGAATAGTAGGGCACTTTTGCTTCAAACCACAAATAGTATCTTATGCTTTAAAAATTCAGTACAAACCATTTAAATGCATGGCGTTTACTCGTAGTCTATTTGTGAAATGAGTGGATGCTCAGGGTGCTGATGGCAGGGAGCAGTTAATGTGTTGGTAGGTAACCTAAATTTTCATAGAACTCTTTTTAAAGTGACCATGTGCCACTGAAAGTGGCATCAATTATTCTTCAGTTTTTAGTTGAAATGCAAAGGCTGTCCAAATTTCCAATTTTCAGCTCACCATCTATAACAGAGAGGGAGGCAAAATATACCTCCATGGGAGATACCTTAGTATCACAATCATAAGACACCCTTTCTCAGAACAGGAATGAAATAGTTCCAAGGCTTTCCTTCCCCAAGTATTGACAAAGCCTTTGATATTCTGGGAATAAGGAATTGGGCATACATAGGAAACTGAATAGTGAAGAATAGGCATAAAGGCAGCAAGCAATCTTGAAAGTTCTCTAATACATACTGGGTGGGACAGTGCAGTGACAGAGGGGCTGGCAATGGAGCCAGCCCTCATATGGGTCCCCTGCTTAAGTTGTCAGTGTCCTTGACAAGCAAATAACACTGGCCTTTGCTTTCCTCATCCACAGAGAGGAAGGCAAACGCTAACTCACGTGTAGCTGCTTATTCCTGGGCCATAGGAAGCTTTCTTCCTTCCTTTCTTTCTTTCTTTCTTTTTTTTTTTTTTTTTTTTTTTTTTTTTTTGTTAAGATCTTTTTATTTATTATGTATACAGTGTTCTGCCTTCATGTATGCCTGCAGGCCAGAAGAGAGCACCCGATCTCATTACAGATGATTGTGAGCCACCATGTGGTTGCTGGGAATTGAACTCAGGACCTCTGCAAGAACAGCCAGTGCTCTTAAACACTGAACCATCTCTCCAGCCCATGCAGCTGCTTATTCCAATGCTTGTTTTGGGAGGTCTCTGCATCCCAAGGGCCGATTACTGACACATACCACCACCCTTACTAAAGCATAGTTATAAAGATCAAAAAAGGCAACAGAAAGACTTCAATCAACCATTTAATGCTCAATATTGTTACAGCCATCTTAATAACAAAATACATAAATATATGTAATAAATACATACGTATTTTTCATCAGTACCAAGAGAGTCAAGTTCAGTACCATACTTTGTGTTCAATTGAAGCTTCATGACATCATACAGGAAAAATAATGATATTCAATACCTTGTACTGTGAAAATTTATATTGTGGTTAACTTACACACATACACACACACACACACACACACACACACACACACACACAAATGCACTTTGAAAACTATAGAATCCAAAGACAGGATTTCAAACAGGGGGGGAAAACCCCACTAAGTCAAACTAAACACTTTCTGTCGTTAATCTTTGATATTAACTGAATACATTTGATGGGCCCAAAAGATAAATTATTACTTTAAATACACTGGTCAGATATATTTTAAAACACTGCAGAGAACAAAGGAAATCCCAAAACTTTTCCTAGATTTTCCATTCATTTGAATCCAGTTACACATCCTTGCCAAACAAAATGTATGTACTGAATAGCTTAATGAACAGAACAGACAAACAATATATTATTCTTCTTCCATGGAAATTTGTGTTCCATAGCTGATTTTTTTAAGCTTATTTTTGTCTTGAGAGATGGCTCAGCAGTTAAGAGTGCTTGTTGCTCTTGTAGATCAGAGGATTCCCAGTACTCACACGGTGGTTCACAGTCATCCGTATCTCCAGTTCTAGGGGAACCAAAGCCCTGTTCCTCAGGCTTCCTCAGGCAACAGACATTCATGTGGTACATACACATACACACAGGCAAGACAATCATACATGTAAAATAAAAATAAATAAATCATAAAAAATTTAAAAACTAATTTCTAATTTCAAGTGTGCTTTGTAACTTTTTTCTCATGTTCTATCCTTCCCTCATTCATTCCCTTCCTTTGTCCTCCCTAACTCTTTCTAAAAGAGGGTCTTGCTATGCAGCCTAGGCTGGATTTGAACTTGGAATCCTTCTGCTTCAGCCTCACAAATTGTTTCCAAGAGAAACAATTTCTAAAGAAAATTCCATGATTGAAAATTGATTCTAAAACCCCAGGCACATATATAGAAGCATGCACAAAACTCTTGGGATATGTATATATATAGAGAGAGCCACTCAGTGAATGGTTTGGGGTCTTGGTAACAGATAATTTACTCTCATTAGGCATATCTCTCTTGTGCATTAATATGTGACATCACACTCTCATATAACATTTTATAACCAAGTGAAATAAAAAGTCCCTCCAGATTGCAACTGTAAGATAATCAGATTCTGTAGTACTCATTATGACTGCAATTATGTAACAAAGCACTCCAAATATAGTTCAGTTATTGCCGTTATTAATCATTCTGGTTTTGTTTCAAGTACTTGTTTTATAGCCTGTTGGATAGACTGCATTATTTTACAAGCTGAATGTCGAAAGTCAAACTCGTGCGTGTGAATCTGCTGTTCTAAAGGCCTTTCAACATAATCTACCCTTTCAATTTGTGAATAAAAGAAAATGGGGGATAAATGAAGCTGGTGTCAATAGAGTCACTGACCTTTGCAGTAAACAGAAGAGAGTCCTTAGCACAAAACAACTTTGCCAATAAGAAACCTATTTTGCTAGAACTAGAAATTCTGCTGCTTAAGAAGTTAGCCTTGGAATAGCAATTGTTCTTACAAAAAGAATCTGCACATTTGATGAGGAAAATGGTAAGAGTGTTAGCAGATCCCGTTTTAAGGGAAAGGTTTAAATACCCATGACACAGAATACAGTCCTAAGCATTTGATGTACAGAACCATGTATTCTAATGAATTTACCAAGTAAAAACAAGACATTGATTAGAACAGAAGCAGTACCATCTGTCCCAATTTAAAGCATCACTATACATATATTTGAGAAACAAAACTGTACCTAAAAATTCTTAAGCCTATGCTCTAGCGGGCTGAAGTGCTAACTAAACAGAATTCCAAATGATCCTTGGGAGAGTGGCTCTGTAATTATTTTAATACTAACATGTAGTGAGATCAAATAATAGGCATATAATAACATATCAACAAGACTTACAAAATCCACGGTGCCATTTTCCTGTACTCACTGCTTTTTTTCAGTTTGGCTATAAACATTGGGCCCCAAGCTTTGCCCTTTTCGGGAATCACCAAAAGACTGCATTTCTGGCCGGTGGGGGCAAATGTGAAATCCTGGGAGCAGGTCCTTGCCATTCCACTAATATCCACAGGCGCGATGGTACTGTGGGAGCTTAAGATCTCATGGATTACATCCTGATTCTCCGCCTTGGATAGTGTGCATGTGGAGTACACGAGTAGCCCTCCAGGCCGTAAGGCTTTAATTGCAGACCTATGTGTAATGGCAAAATGAAGAGGTGAGTTAGGTACAAAAAGGAAAGTAGGGGACCCAAGTCAAGGAGATTACAAACCAGCCTTGCTCTGCCTCTGGTGGCAAGAACTCTTTCTGGGTTCTTTTCTGACCCTTATACAGAGTTCATTTGCACCCTATACATAGTTTATCACTGATGAGTGGGAAATAGTAGCCAGATAAATCAAGATGGGAAAGTCAGAGAAAGTGAATTTGGTTGATGGATTGTTCTTCTAAGGGTAGGGAGAAGAGGGCAGAACACAGATAATGTTTTTTTAAGTCATGAAAGTGAAACAGAAAGCCAAGACACTAATTGAGAACAGACATAAAAGGATCATACTCTGTGTACTCCAAGTTGGGCTAACAGGTGGAAATCAGAAGGCATTCACCTAAGAAAAAGGGATAAAGCATTTGTAGGGAGAGACATAAGCAGCTGCTATGGGCTGAGAAACCAAAGTCCTTTGCACTCTACCTTAAAGGGCTCTTCGAGAGTAAGAGCCAGCTTCCCACAGTGTGATATTAGCAGCAAAAGCTCCCACCCTTACAATAAGCCACCTGTACGTTGTTGTTGTTTCATTATAGACTAAAAAGGTATGGCCAAGGATTCCCAGGAAATGATTAATCAATACATAAGAAAAAGAACACAGACAGCAAAACTGTGGCCTAGAAAGAAACTGGCAATTCAATTCAGGGAGCAAAATATGACACAATAAACACAGAAAAATGAGCAAAGATGGATCACTTATAAAATAGCAACATCATAAGAAAACAGCAAGAAGATAGTTCACAGAAATTGAACATCGGTTGCCAAAATAAGGAGTATCTGTAATACTCCTTGGATTAGCCTTGGATAACAATGGCTAACAAATCCCCCATCCCCCATCTTCAAAGTAAGACAACAGGTGAAGTCAAAATAAGCTTGTTCAAAATTCAATTAACAAATTTAGAAAAATAATACACAGAAGTTTTTGACAATGGCAACTGAATTAATGTAATAAGATAACTTTCCATAAATGGGGCAGGATAACAATTCACATGGACGGAACTTATCAAGAGGCTACCATATTCATTATTATCCATGTATCACCTATTATATGCCAAGCATTGTCTAGATATGGGATATATAACAATGAATAAAGCAAAACAATGTAAATACTAACAATTTATTAAAACACCTCATACCTGGTGTGATATCTTATCCTCTAACCCTAGCAACCCAAAGTCTGAGGAAGGAGAACTGCCATGAGTTGAGTTTGAGGCCAGACTCGGTTACACAGTGAGCATTAAGCCAGCCAGGGTTACACAGACAGGCTACCCTGTCTCAGAAAGCCCCAGAGAAAAGCACACTATATCCAATTACAAATGTTCAGCCCTGAATACATGCACATACAAGTAATGTCTAGACTGAGCAAGCTGTATTTTAAAATTTAGGAACACACACACACATGGTAAGACCAACTAAAGAAAAGGAGACCATGAGCTGTGCAGGGCACTTGACAGGAAGGAAAGGGAAGGAGGAAATGATGTAATTATATTAGTCTCAAAATAATTTTAAAAAAATCTCCTCTCCCTCCACTCTCCAAGTAGAGGGAGGAGAAACTACAGTCAGGATATAATATATGAGAGAAGAATATTTTTTTTTAAAAAACTGAAAGTTACAAAAATAATAAAACCAGAGACCTGGTGGGGGGAAACCTTTATTTCCTCAAACATCACATTCTCACAATTGTCTCAGGAACACCAACTATGGGAAGATGAGTGTGCCAGTGACTGAACCATGCCCTCTGACTTATAGAACGGAGTGTAAACACACACTGTCTCTGCACAGAACTGAATTTGGAAACAGGATCTCTAATGAAGTAATTCAGTTAAAATCCAGTCATTGGAAAGGCTACACTAATCCAATTGAGCTAATATCTTTATAGGAGGAAACTTAGACACAGAGACAAAGGAACATGTAAGCCAAAGGAAAAGAAGGTCAGCAGCCATGGAGGAAGATCTTACAAGAAGCCAGTCCTAGCAGCGTCTCTCAGACTTACAACCTGTCACTACTTCGTCAGCTATTAGGTGCACTTTGCCATGGTGGTCAAGGCAAAAATCACAGAAAGTATATGTACATGCATAAATACATATAAACCTATTCACAAGAATATGCGAGTTGGCATGTATGTTTATTTCATGTGTAAATTAGTGGCAGGTACCATGGAGAAAATTAAATCAAGACAAAAAGATTAGGAGTGACTGGGCAGTGGGGAATTGTAACAACTGGGCCAAGCAGATGTGTGAAGGATACACACTCTATACTGCAGGAATAGCCAACAAAAAATCTCCAAGGCACGGCCAAGGAAAGAGGACAGCTGTGTGGCTAAAGGCAGGGAAGAAAGGAAGGCTTTCATGACAGGAAATCAGAGTCGGAGGTGCAAAGGGACCTGTGAATGCTTAGTAAACTTCACCTTATACACTTGCACTGAAATACATCATGGCTAAAGTTTAAAATACTGAGAAAAAAAAAAGAGAAGATACTAAACATCTCCAGAAAGGAAAATGAACATTAATATATAGGTCATTTCAACATTCAGAAATCAGGCTGGAAATAGTCACTGTCTGGTGAAATCTATTTGCAGCTGACCCATCAAATAAATATGCAAGAAGAACTGAAAAACTCAGAGATCAGATGACTCTGAAATTTTTCCTCCAACAAACTGAAGAGGTAAGTCAAGGAGGAGAGTCAGAACCCATAAAAGGGTAAATATAGCATAGAACAGTGAAGGGCGGGAAGCCTCGGAGCAGGAGCAGTGTGTGAAGGTTGGAGGGAAGCCTCTTCAGGCTACAAGGAGAAGGAGGTCACCAGAAAAATCACTGACAGGTAAGAGAACCTACAGATTGTAGATAAAAATCTCAGAAGGAACAGTACCAAGGCTGACAACCATGAAAATGAAAACACCAACGAAGGGGTACTGAGAAATAAATGAGAGGGAGATATGCATAACAGCGTCAGCACACAAAGCACTGATTTTAGAAAAACAGAGGAAGAGGCATGCCCTTGGTTATTAAGAGGAAGAGAGAGACAGACAGACAGAGAGAGACTAAGAAATGGAGGTCTCATAGCTGACTAGGGAGGAATTGGTAATTTGGGGTGCAGGTTTACTCCACTCACGACAAAATGCAGTCTGTGCAATCAGTAGTCACAGATGACCAAGGGCACAGGGTGTAGGGTCATGTACATGAGATGAATACTAGCGACAGGCTAGTAACTAGTACCTACAGTGAAAAAAGAAAACCAAATTATTTAGAGATGTGGGGATGCTCTTTTGAGATCTGACAGTGACCTGGAGGATAAATTAACAAGAGAAACATGTGAAAGTCATTGCCTCTGAAAACATAGGAGGAAGAGTGGAAGGAGAAGAAAGCAACAATTCAGACACTCAACTCTAGTTCTGGATTTTCATCTATGTGGTTAATTTTTATGGTAACACAAATGATAGGGGAGATTTAACAGTAGGGTAAGTATTTGCTTTTCCCACAGCAATTGGTTTTGTATAAATTTTGACTGTTAGGCAAAACTTAATCTCCAGACAGCCCATGTCCTGAAATTACAGACTGTAGAGCAAATTCTAGCTAGTCTTAACAAAACCCCAAGTCAGATCTAGGGGTTAATGCTGAAAGATCAGAGAAACAGGGCAGCCAGCCACTTGTTCTAACCTCTACAAAATCCTCAGAATAAAGGGGTGAATGCTCAGACTGAATGCTAAGTTCCTGTCTCCTCCCACCTTAGACTCCTCTCTGCTCAGCCATATCCCTTTGTCTCCACTTCCTCATCCAGTATTAAAGGTGTGTGACTCCCAAGTATTGGTTTTGAAGGTATGAGCCACCACCCCCTGACTCTATTTCTCTTTTAGACTGGATCAATCTCATGTAGCCCTGGGTGGCCTTGAACTCCCAGAGGTCTGTCTGCCTCTGCCTCCCAGTGCTGGGATTAAAGGGGTGAGCCACCACTGCCTGGTCTCTATGGCTAACTAGTGGTTTACCTCTGCACTCTGATCTTTAGGCAAGCTTTATTTGTTAAAGCACAAACAAAATATCACAATAGGCCACTAACATTTTCTAGTACTTAAACTGTATACACTTCCCATATATCCCTTCACTGAATTAAATGTATGTTGGGGCATTTAAATGACAGACAGCAGTAGCCAATGGCAAGAAGCACTTGATGGGAATCTCTAACTTTCTGCCTAAGGTTTTGAGATAATTCAATTTGTATTAAAAAGAAAACCTTCGTTCAGAAATTAATGTGGCCTGCCAAGTCATGCCAACTTAAGTTTAGAAGATAAATTAAAGATGCTGGAATAAAAACAAAACATAAGAATCAGCCAATACTAAAACCTCATAGAAATTAATTGAAATTTGCATCAAGCCAGGAACATATCACTTGTAAATGGTGAGGCTTGTGTGTCCTTCTACACAACTTTTGTGAGTAGGGAAAAAATAAAAACCCCTCGTGTTTGCTTAAGTGCTAGATTTGTTACCTATGGAATTAAATGAAAATAGTCACTATAATGGGAGTCTAAAAATGTCTCTATTCATATTCAAAACTGCATATATTCTGTGCACAGTGACTATCTAATGTATTTTTTAAAAATTGTACATCTATTGCCATAGTCCATAGGAAATTATCTCAGATGAGCAAAGTTCTAGTACAATTTTAGTAAAAAAATGGCAACACATTTAGTGGCTTAAAGTACTGAAGCCTTATCTCCTTTGAATCTCTAGAGTCCAGTTTACAATGAACTTCATGAATCAAATCAAGGTAGTCCTATGCTGGTGGTACCAGTCACGAATCTTGGCCAGACAATGCAACCAGAACTTTGTCATCACAGCTCCTTGCCTACCTCTATGCTTCTTCTCATCTGCAAGGTTCTTTGTAATGACACTGGTCTACTGAGACATATCCAGAATAATCTCTTCATCTCAGAATCATAATT